GCCCATGTGCGGGGAAGACGGTGGGATGAAGAACCATCGGGTGTTCGCATCGGTAAATGTTTCTGCCAGCTCTCGATTCATATCGGCCAATTGACGGGCCAGCTCCCGACTGGCGCCCACGAAATTCGTTCCGTGGTCTGTATAAATTTGCGTTGGTGCGCCGCGACGCGCGATGAATCGCCGTACTGCCAGTTTACATGATTCCGTTGTCAAAGACGCAGCTATCTCCAGGTGTACCGCTCTAATTACCAAGCACGTAAAGAGTGCCACCCAACGTTTCACTTGACTTCTGCCTATCTTGATCAGATATGGCCCAAAATAGTCGATGCCAACATGCGAGAATGGACGGATGAACGGCGTTACTCGCGCTTCAGAGAGAGGCGCCATCCGGGGTACTTCAGGTCGTGCTTTGTAGACAATGCACCATTGACACCTTTTTGCAACCGTCCGAAGAGATGAGATGTGATACCGCTGACGAATTTCGTTGACCACCGTTTCGCTGTTGATGTGGCCAAATCGTCTGTGGTACCAGTCTACCAAAAGCTCCGTCACACGATCATTTTTCGGCAGAATGACTGGATATTTCGCATCGTATGTAGCCAGGGGGAAGATTCGGTCCGCCCTTCCATACGAACCACTCCAAATTCATCTAAAAACGACGATAAACGTCGAATCGGACTATTTTTCGCCACTTTCGGTGCCTGCCTTCCATTGACCCTTTTCGTTGCCTTCAACACCTCTATCGACATATTCTCTTGCTTGTGCAAGCCGCCACAGAGCCCTCTCTGCCCAAACTAGATCTTCCTGCTTCTATGCACGATTGACCTGCGTTGCTCCTTGCTTGCCGAACTCGAAATAACGATCCATAAAGGAGTACACATATGCCGTAGTTCGGAGCATTCGTTTCCACTTCGAGAAGCGATCACTTCTGATACATGGTTGTATCCACGCCGTTCGGTGCACATGTATGGCGCGTAATTCTTCGTCAGTGTTGACTGATAGTGTCTGCTGTTGTGGCCACTCATTCTCCGATTGATAAAGAAAATCTGGTCCGGTGAACCAACGGCTATCCGAATGAAAAATAGGGCCCTTTCCCCATTTCGTGGCCTCATCCGCAACGTTGAGTTTGGTGGGTATCCAGCGCCACTCATCTGGCTGCGTTTCTTCCAGGATGCCACCTTTGCCTTTGAAGCAACCAAAGAACATCGTGGTTGGCCTCGATCGATGATTCGAAAATATGCGACACAAGCGAAGGCAGATTCGCTTGCATCCACAAAAATATGGAGCTGTAGCGTTCGATAACTGTCTCGAAGATATTCGGGAAAATAGCAGCGCGGAATTCGGGTTTTATTCAATTTTGTTAGTTGTTCGATCCATCGTTCCCAATGCACAAGTATGTCTGCTGGAATGTCATCGTCCCATGCAACTTGTGCTCTCCAAAGGTCTTGGATGATCATCTTGCCATGGATGAGCAGGTTTGATATTAATCCAAGCGGATCGAAAACACTCATAACAAATCTCAGGATACTCCGCTTCGTTACTATCTTCGTTGACTCTGGTAGCTTCACGAAGTACACAAAGACATCATCGTCCGTAATCCAAGCCATACCGAGGACACGTTCCACTTGGCTTTCCTTGTCGATGCTGAAATCTTTCGTTGAGCCAGCTGTGTCTTCCCCGAGGAACTGCAACACCTTCTTCGAGTTTGATCGCCAGTTTCGTAATTCAAACCCAGCTGTTGACTGTACCATTCTAACCTCCAAAGCCAGTTTGATCATGTCTTCTTCTTCGTCGCAACTGTCCAAATAATCATCCACCGCTGTCGCCGCTTCCGGGTATGCTTGCATCCACTCAATCGCGTTGGTGTTTTTTACAAAGTTCGCTAAACAGGGCGACCAAGTCGACCCAAAGATGGCCACGTCCATGACATATATGTCAGGCTTCTTCGATGGATCGCTTCTGTAGAGAAAGCGTAGTACCTGTTATTTTGTTATAATCGAAGATTATATCGTGCTAATTAAAAAAAATGGCTAAATCACCAGTTTTCCCTATAGAAAATGTACTAACATGTCCATGAAATCTAGATTCACCATTCACCATTCACTTTTGAATACTTTCTGATCATCCTGCAATCTAGAAAAAAATATATGACAGACTTCATTTGTAACAGTTGGAGATCTGCAGAACTTGATCAACCAGAAGTCTTGAAAAAAATATCAAAAGAACTTTACTAACATCTTCGTCTATCTGGAGATCATTTGAATCATACCTGCAGTTCAGGAAGGATGTCTGAAAGAATATCTTGTAACCTATGCAACGTTGCCTAAACATCTTAAAACCTCCCTTAGGCTTTAAAAAATTTTCTCAACTTCTACAAAGTTGCCAAATTTTAGTATTTTTTCCATTTCTCTTAATTCTTGGATTACTTCTGAAAAGACCCTAGACATCTAGATATATTTTTGAACAGCTGGAAAGCTCCTTGAAATTTAACAAAGTTCACAAAACTTCCTAGAAGTTCATTGAGGTTTTTTGAAGTAAGGATCCCTGAAGATCTTAGAAGTTGGCTGACATATTTTTTTTTAATCTTCTGCAAAATTCCCTGCACATATATGAAGTTTTATCCAGCTTTTCAAAATGCACTTTTACGTTTCTCGTTTATTTTCAGTGAAGTTCCACGCATGGAATTTCTTGAACTTGTACGTAATGCCCTGAACTATTCCAAGCTCATGAGAAAAAGTATCCTGAGATTATATAAAGATCCCCAAACAATAATGAGATTCTCTGAAACTAAATAATGTTTAACATCTACGAAGATCCCAAAACTTAAATAGAGTTCCGCAGTTTTCTGAACTTTTCCAAAACGCCCTGAGTTTCTACGAATTTTTCTGAAGCTCTATTACGTTCGTAGTTTTGTTAATTTCAACGATGTTCCCTAAGCTTCGTAGAAGTCCATGAAGTTTAACAATGCTTCCTGAGGTCTAAGAAAATTCCCTGCCAACTCTTGGTCAATTGAAAAAGCATGAAGACGCCTTATCTCAAAAACTCGATTGGCCCATGATCTCTAACAGAATTGCTCAGAAAATAAATTTTTCATGCACAAGTCCGTGTCTCATAACCAGGAAAGGGGGGGGGGGCTATAGGGCTAAAGCCTCCTCCAGAAATGATTTTAATATACTTGGGGTGCTTATTATAATGATTTGAATACTAAAAATATGAATTCGAAAATCTCCACGAACAAAAAACCAACTATTTTCCATGTATTTTGATACTTCTACACAACATTTTCATCGGGAGCTTGAAAATTACAATATGTCATCGAAAATTGTCATATAATAGGATTGAACGACAAGTGGTACATATGGTAAAGCCCCTCCTTGCTGCACCAGTTTGGTGTCTTTATTACCAAAATACGGAATCCCGAAAAAAATAATACCGGCTATAACTCCAGCCGCAAACAACGGTACTTTTCTGTATTCAAAATTTATCTCACAATAGTTTTCTCTGACTGAGTTTTTGATTATTAAAAAATACTGTATAAATCGGTATAAAATCTCACTAGCCGGTATTTCTGTATATCTGTATATCTGTATAAATCGGTATATCTGGCAACGCTGAGTTCAACACCAAAATGTTACAAAATTTCGATATAAATTATTCCGTTATGAAATCTTCATTAAGTTGTCTAAAACAGTCTTGATACATACACAAGTTTTTTAAATGCGTACGTCACTCAGCGCTGAGTGACCTCCACGGCTAAGATTCGTTTTCTAGGGTTTTCTGTCGAATTTTCTTCTGGTTTTCCTGCGAATCCATCATAATACAGTTTTAAATATTCCATGTACCGTCGTCACCTTTCCCTTCGAATAATAAAAACAATCATTTTCGGGGTTTGGGATAAAGTCCAGGGACGAAACTACGGGGTGAAAAATGTTACCGCACTGGCATCGTTTCAACCCCCACTTCGTTCGGGCTACAAAGCCGAAGCCTACAACTGTTGGCTGTTGGCGTGAGTGCAAGGGCAGTGAGAGTTAAATGAGTGCGAAAGCTATCCCCCCTCCCCCACTTTCCGTTTTGCCCCTCGACTCGGTACTTCCGGCACGAGATTTGTATACACAAAAGGTCAAACGTTCCTCTTGGTTGGTGTGAAGTGGCCCAATAAAAACATTCCCAAACCCACACATTCACACACATTCTGAAGTTTCCACCGGGTGCTTCAACAAGTGAAACAAATGAGATTACTGATTTTTTCGAGTGCTTTCCACTCGGTTCCGACGAGGGAAGGGATGAGGAACTGGGCTTGGAAATGCGAATCGAGAATGTGGCAAATGGTGTCTTAAATTATGTCTTCAAAGGAACGATTTCAACCGGACGATATGGGTTCGAAACCGTAGCAAAAGTGCTGGTTGTAAATTGCTCCCATGAGTAGAACGGGGTGTGGGTGTGACCAAGAAAAGGACGATGATGGAACGACTCCGGTAGTGTTCTAAATGAGAATGTTTCAAAGACTCGGAAAAAAGGTCAGAAGAAGGCTCTTTCCCCACTAGGTGAGCGAACATACCACCTAATCGGAAAATTGAACGTGAGCTTAAAGTCACGTCAAAGCCGAAGCCTAAGCAAATTTATACAGTGTAATTAAATCAGAAATTCAAATAGGCTTTTTGGGTTATGGGTACCTTTGGACTAACGTAACGCCGTACGGTGTGTTTAGAATTTAAGGAACTGAGTTTCCGCCAGATGGATGGATGCTAGGGTTTGGGAAAGGGCAGGTCATGCCATTCGTTTCAATCATGCTGGAGACGTACTCTTTCCTGAAAATACCTTTGGAAAGCACCGTGAAGGTCAATTTGTATCATGCATAATTAATTTGCGCATTACCTTATCGACTGTTATGACCGTTAGTGCCTAAGCATAAGCAGATTATATATGATTGATTTAACAGCAATCTCCACCGAACCACCCAATTTCGCGATTCTCAAATAATTAATTCTCGGTATACTCACCAAAGCTCTCCTTTTCATTTTTCGCAGCAAACGTTAGGCCGAATCGCGGGAAAACTACGGCAAACAGAAGAAACACGGTTCGAAAAGTTCCGTAGCAGTTGAACGTTTTAACCCTGCGGGAACTGGAGGATGTCAACACCTGTTCTAGTTTTTGCTGCTGTTGTTGGATGACGGATTCTACCGGACGACGCAAAGCAAGATGTCGCAGAACATCATTACCGGTGCGATTAATGGTCATTGTTGGTGAAGTAGGACATTTTTGTGATTCTCGCTCTCCGAAAGCATTCGTCGTCCGTTTTCGGTGTCCGTTTCGATGCTGCAAAAGGAGGTTGCGTTCTCATCGAGCGAAGCAGGTGTCGATCCGGATGGTGCTGCTGCTACGATTGATGGGAATAGGTTGTGAAGGATTTTTTCCTCGGTGCTTCTGGTGATTCGGGCCCCGCTGATGAGAGGACCATTCGGTTTTCATTGCTGGTTAGGGACCGCAATTTCGGTTAGACGAGCTTCGAGACTTATGCTGTCGATGGGATTCAGATTGTCGGTCCGCCTGAAATGAAAACGGTTTGATTGGAATTAGATAGGGCTTTGACATGAGTGAGGGTTTGAAAGGTAGGCGAGAGATTGGCGATCTCGTTCCTTTTCATTTGAAAACTCGCCCACACAAACCTATATGGTAAATGGAGACCCTACCCGATGGTGTTGTTGGTTTGCATTGGTGAGCTTCGGTTTGCGGGAAAAGGGCATTGCAAGTTTGATGTACAAAAGCTGATGGGCTATTTTCTCTTGTTTGTAAGGATATCTAACTCATCACTAGTCTCTTGCAATTGCATTTGAGCAATTCCATTAAAATTGACGATTTTTGTTTTTAAATTTTATATTAATTTGTCCGCTCCGATTTTGCTGACATTTTGCACAGTTGTACCTTTTTACTAAAGATGCCATTTTATGTTATCAATTGGCGTTGCGCCGTCTCTATAGCTCTATACTCCTGTGGAAAATCCATAAGCAAACGTGAAACATGGCGGACTTCGTACTATCCTTTCACTTTATCGAAAATTCCCATAAAAGACTGCCAATCTTTGCTAAAAGAGACAATGTTTTGACGGTAACGTAATCGCCAATTCTTCAAATTGGGTCACGACTACTTTTCCAACAGGGCCTGTGTAAAATTTAAATATTGTCGAAACGGTTTGTTCGATTGCTGTGGTGCCTACAGCAAAGTTGTAGGTATTGATTTAACACTGTGATTTATTTGTTAAAGATGAAACAGTTTATTTGTTAACGACGAGCATTAACGATAAAAAAATGAAACTAGGAACAAACCAATTAATTTCTCAAAAAGCACATAATTGGACAAATAATCGAAAAGAATAGGAGTTCACAAAAATATCGTTTAATTTTGCCACAACAGATGAATACGAAAGTATGACTTCAGATCTTAACGAGCAATATTATAATGCAAAAATCAGTCGACCCCGGTGGTTTCAACTTCGGAAAAAGCCCCCGGAAAGGGAAAGCAACCACCCCTGGTGGTTAAGAACATCGATTTCGCAACCCTCGTCGAAAAAATGCGCTCGTGCAACGTCACGCCGACGTAGCAAATCACCCGATTTGGTACCAAAATCAACTGCACCTATGCAGAGAATTTCAACTAGGTACAAAAACATCTGAAGCAGAACGACCCTACCGGGTTGTGCTCCGTGATCTTCCGCTGGTTGACCCAAAAGAGCTTCTGGAACGTTTGAAGAAGAAACACAACCTCATCGGCCAGCCGGCTCACATCATCAAAAGGAAGGGGGACTGTGCAAACCTCGAAGAATCGTTCTACTTGGTGTACTTTGCCAAGGGATACACTAACCTCAAGAAGCTGAGAGACGTGAAGCACGTTGCGCACATCATCGTACGGTGGGAAGCCTATCGCAACAAGCGAGCTGACGTAACGCAGTGCATGAACTGCCTTCCCAAGTAACAATTTTGGTTTTATAAGGGTTCTGTAGACTATGATTTAGACTTGTAGAGTGCGATAAAACTTTAAATGTTACTTTGGTTTACCACGGCCACGGAACCCGAAACTGCCACCTGAAGAGCAGATGTAACAGCTGTGGCGAAACCCACGCTACCGAGAAGTGCTCAACAAAATGTACCCCCGGGGAAACGATGTGCCAACTGCGACGGCGCTCATCCGGTTACAGATCGTAGCTGTCTCAAGCGTGCCGAATACATTCGGATTCGACAACAAGCAACAACCTCAAACCAGCCGGGTCGAAAGGAAGTCAGAAAGAGTTCAGCTGCACCTGCACTGACTATGAAGGATTTTCCTGCGCTACAGAATAGCTCGGTACCAGCCGGAGCATCAACTTTTGTGGGCTCACAGTCCGCAGTCAACGCCGGGATCAACCAACATAAGCATGAACGTTGTATCGATCCTCGCACCACAGCGGGTATAAATGTTCCATCAGCGGGTTCATCTCCCGAGGAAAGCGAAGAGGTGCTCTACAGTTCTGCCCAGCTGTGGTCCATCTTTACCGAGTTCTGCAATCGTTTGAAGCAGTGCAAAACCCGTTCGGACCAGATCAAGGTCCTAGGATACATGGTCTGCCAAAATGGGGTCAACTGAGCCCCACAGCATCCGAATTGCCAATTGAAACGCTCGCTTTATAAGGGCGAAAAAGATTGAATTGAGCAACTTCTTTGCCCAACAAAGCATCGGCGTGGGAGTTATCACCAAAACCCGGCTCCCAGCAACAAATTTCTCACTCCCAGCTCACATCATTATCCAACTAGATAGCACCAACGCAAGTGGTGGCGGTGTTTTTTTTTTTTTATAAGGGGGGAATCTGCTCACAGACACCTGAGAAGGAACTCAGGGTGTGGAGATTCACTCCCGACCCACTAAACCTTACCCTGTGCGCTTGGCCCTTGACCTCCCCGGAACCGCCCGAAGGCATTACTTCGTGGGAGGGGCCGCTGTAGCGCTATGGCGCCTCTCTAGCAATACTCTAACGATCTGGTCGGGCAGTAGGTAACTGCTGCTCGGCTCGCCACTGTCGTTGTAATACCGAAACACCACCGCGCTCCAGTTCTCGGTGGTACCACACATCCTATGAACGATGTTGTCCGGACTGGTATCCGCTCCGCATATGGCTAGCATAGCGCTCGATACTGGCTCGAAACGTGGACAGGCAAACACGACGTGTTCGGCGGTCTCCTCGACACCAGCACATGTGGTGCAGATGGGAGTACTTGCATGTCCGAACCTATGCAGGTAGCTCCTAAAGCAGCCATGGCCTGACAGGAACTGTGTCAGGTGGAAGTTTACTTCCCCATGGCGCCTGTTGACCCAGCTTGATACGGAAGGTATCAAGCGGTAAGTCCACCTCCCCTTTGTGGAGTTTTCCCACCCCAATTGCCATCTCGCGGTCGACACAACTCGCGCGTTGTTGCGCACCCCTCGAACGGTCCTCGCGTCATAACACGCCACATCCTCCTTAATGATAAGGCTGATTGGCATCATCCCTGCTATGACACAGACGGCCTCTCTCGAGATAGTGCGGTATGCACTGGCCACCCTTAAGCACATTAGCCTGTGTGTACTCTCTAATTTCTGCCTGTGGCAGTCAATATCCAGTACCGCAGCCCACGCAGGGCCGCCGTATCTGAGGATAGATACTACGACCCCAGCGAGGAGCCTGCGCTTACTGGCATTCACTGCCGAGCTGTTTGGCATCATACGAGATAATGCCTCCACAGCCATAGACGCTCTCTTGTAGGCGTACTCGACGTGGCAGCCGAAGCTGAGCTTATCGTCGAGCATGACCCCCAAGAGTTTTAGAGAGCGCACAGACCTAGTTGTGCTTCCGCCGACTGTCAACGTTGCATGCTGTACTGACATGCGATTGTTGACTACGACCACTTCCGTCTTGTGATGGGCGAGCTCAAGTTTCCTGGTTCTCATCCATTCCTCCACAAGCCTGACGCAGTGGGCCGCTGTCAGCTCTACCTCCTCGAGGGATTCCCCCCAGACTACCAGCGTGACATCGTCGGCAAAACCTACAATTTTCACGCCTACCGGGAATTTTATCCTCAACAGTCCATCGTACATGACGTTCCATAACACCGGACCCAGGATGGAGCCTTGTAGCACCCCAAGCAACACGGCTTGTCATAAAGAAGTCGAAAATACTTTGTAATGACTAACGCAAAGAATCACTAATACTTTAATATACATCATTTAATACATTTATACAACCTAAAAAGCGCAAGACGCGGAGCTTATACAACTAAATACTGGTCTTATAACATGTTTTGGATACATCATTAAAACCAGCGCAAAAAAAAACAATAAAAAATCTTGAGCATGGGATTCCATCACTGGTCCTTCGCGTGGTAGACTTGTTACTACCTAACTAGACCAACACCGCTTAATGAAAGGTTTGTTATAAGTATCTATCATGTTCTTGCCAATGGCATGAAAATTATTTTCTCGTTTAACACGCCTTCGATCCGTCATGAAGACGTTTTGTTAGTAGCAAAGCGTAGATTGCCAGCATGTTATTTAAACGTATTTTCAACTCCTTATAAGACAACCTGCACATTTTCAGTTGTATTAATTTATGAGATGTCATAAAAACGTATTTTCAACTTTCTTTATAACAAACCTCCGAATACCTCATAAGAAACTGTCAATCACTGCATGAAGAGATAGTCCGGCTCAATGGCACCGTTAATGTTTACGTCAATCTGGATTGATTTTGTATACGACAAGTTTTATAGGGGTATTAAAACAGTAAGATGCACGTTCAAATAACATTTAAAGATAAAAGCAAAAGAAAACTATTTTGGAAAATGTTGAACCCAAGAAGTATGAAGAAAACATCTTTAAACCTCATATATAACGTAAGATGTTTTCTGCATCTCTTATAATACATTTATACAACAATCCGTTCTAATTCTTTTTCAAAAGATGTTTTATGTGTTACTTGGGACACAAGTGGTGGCGGTGTGGCTGTCATCATCAAGCATGGCATTCGCTATGAAATCCTACCACATCTGAAAACAAGCATTATTGAAGCAATCGGCGTTAAAATACATGCTCTTCATGGACACATCACGCTGTTTGCCGTCTACATACCTCGGCAATGTGTAGACAGTAATGACACATCCAAACTCTTCGCGCAAGATCTCCAAAAGCTCACCAACAACAGAACCGGCTTTGTGGTGGCCGGTGACCTCAACGCGCGCCATACCCTGTGGCGAAATCACAACTGCAACAAAAACGGTGCCCTCCTGGCAGACCACCTCAGCTCAGGTACGTGTACCATCCACTTTCCGGACGAACCAACGTTCCTCTCCCCAGCTGGAATAACATCCACCCTCGACGTATTCCTGTCCGACCTGGCACTCTCGAAACCAGTCACCTACCACGAACTGAGCTCTGACCACTACCCGGTAGTGTGTGAACTAAATTTCAACCCAACAACAGCGCCGGTGACGATGAGACGAGATTACCATCGGACTAACTGGGTGGTTTTCAGACGCTTGGTGGAC